GTGCTTGATGAGACATTGAATCTCGCTTCTACGTATTTCCAGGTGTAATAGGAACTTAAAGTTGCGTAGTTCTGGGTAGCAAATATTTATCTATTGTTCGGTTTTAGTGAAAGATGTTTAGGTCGCATTCGAGCGGTAAAACATTGATTGTTACCCCCGCATGGGAGAAGTAAACGTTGTGTGTGCTTTGCATCGAAATGGATAAAACATGATCTAAAATCCATCTGATTGTTTTGATCATATTCGAGTAGACAGTGTTGCTTGCTACTCGCACATGGGAGGAATGAAATGTTGTTTGTAATTTGCATCAGAATGGATAAAACATCATTTGTTTATGAAAAGGTTTTCGTCGCACTAAGGTGGAAAAATAAGGTTTGATCGGTTGAAGTTATTTTTAGGTGGACGACAAATATTTGGAAGGAAAACTATATGACTTGCATTCAAATACTCAGGGATCGCAGGGATATATGTCCAATATTTTATTTTTCGTCTGATTTTATTTGTAAAAGAAGTTTGATATGAATCGAGTCAATATTACTCAAAGATGACAAGCACTTGAAAGGCAAGTTATACGACTGGTATCCAAGTACTAGATGATCACAGAGATATACATCCAATAAACCATTTTTCATCTGTGAAGAAACATATTGGATTTGATTGTATTATTAAGATTTGGGAGGATGAAGAGCATTCAAAAGGAAAATTATACGACTTGTATTCAAACACTCAAGGATCACAAGAATATACATCCAACAAATCATTTTTCATTCGAATTTATCGTGAAAAGAGTTTGGATAAGTTTGATTACATTTTAAAAGGATGACAAGAATCTGAAAGGCAAGATATATGATTTGTATCTGAATACTCAAAAATCACTTGGATATACATCCAATAGATTCCTTTTCATCTAGTTTATTGCAAAAATAGGTTTGAAAAGAATCGAATCAAGGTTCCTCAAAGATGACAAGTACTCGAAAGGCAAATTATACGTCTTGTATCCAAGTACTAGGAGATTACAGGGATATACATTCAATAGATATTTTTTCATCTGATTTATTGAGAAAAGGAATTAATCTGGGTTTAATTAAATTGAAATAATAACAAGTATTCAAAAGGAAATATATATGATTTGTATCCGAATACTCGGGAATCACAATAATATACATCCAATAGATCATTTTTTATCCAATTTAAATTGTGCAAAATATTCAAGTTTAGTTGTGAAAAATAGTTTGATTTTATTGTGAAAACAATGAGGATACTTTATTTTAAGGTTCATTAATCAATAATTAAAATTTAATGAATTAAAAAAATCAAAAAAATAAATAAAAATGAAAATTTTAGGGGGAGTGAGAAATCAATGACATGGTGTAGACTGAAAATGGGCCCATAACCCCAAAAGAAATCTAAACCCTAATAATAATAAATAAGCAAAGAAAAATCAATACATAAGGGATCCCCACTATTTCCATTTTTTTTCTAAAAAAAATTAATAAATAAATTAAAAAAAAAAACAAAGTTTGTAAAAGTTCAACTTAAAACTTTTATTCAGTAACTTTTACAACAATGTGAACGCTTATCACAAGATATCTTCCTCTCCACGTGACCATCCCATCTCTTTCAAAAACACATAAATTCAACTTTCAAAGTTCATCTCTCCCTTTCGTAGAAACAATTCTTGTTCCCTCAACAATCAAAAACAACAAAACAAGTCTAATTCTTTTCTTTCTTTCACGGGGATATTCAAGTCCAAACAGGAAACAAATCTGAACAAAGAAGCAAGAAAAAAACATAGCGAAAAGGATTGAAGAACCTCCAACGAAGGTGGCTCTGATTTTGTTGCGGTGGCTGCTCATGTTTCCAAGGAGCGAACAGCTGCTGAGGCTGCGAGGTGGTGTGTGGTGGTCGAAGCTATGTGTTCGACGATTATCTTAGGGTGGCGAGGTTCGATTTTTAGTGCAATTCACAGTAGCCTGATTTGTTTCATTCTTGCTTATGTTTCTACTATGTGGTTGTTGTTGTTCTTCTTCTTCTATTTTTCTTTTCCATTTTTTCTATTTTTTGAAGGTTGTGTTATTTGATTCATTGTTATTGGTATTGAGGATAAGACTTAGGGTTGGTGATGAGGGGAAGAGTTTAGGTTTGTGATGCTGGGTTTTTTATGGTGAAGATAATTTGACGGTGATAATGCTTAGTTTGAGATTATTGATGAAGAATGTGAGGAAGGTTTGTACAATGACGAGGGGATGAAAATAGGTGAAGGTGTTTGTTGAAAAGGAATGAATGTGAAGGTTAATGTTTGAGGAGGTGATTCAAAGGTGGTGTGTAGGAAGAATAGATGGAGGAATTTTGGCATTGTTTACGTGTGATTCTCCTTTGTGAAAGAGTGACCCCTTTTTCTCTGTGATTTCTTGTTCTCTTTATAGCATGACTTTTAAGTTACAATTTATGAGTGTGTGTGAAAAATCATGTGTGAAAGTTGGTTGTGAAATTGTGAGAATTCTGTGAGGTTAGTGTGAGAGAAAAAGAGTGAGGATTGTGTGAATGTCATGAGGTTAAAACTTGCAAAAAAAGTGTTATTATTCTCTTGTGAATGAGAAGCGGTTTTCTGAATGGTTTTCCATGTGAAGAAATTTGTTGTAAGGATATTCCATGACATGTGTGAAGTCTTGAAGTATTGTGCTACCTCTTAAATTAGTAGTGAGTGAATAAATTGTAAAGCATAATGGCATTATCGTAAAAGCACATGGCTAAAGCACACACACACACACACTAAAATCTATTTTAAACTGTTTTTTGCTAAAGAAAATATCTTCAAAAACATATTTAAGTTGTGCCAGATGAATTAGGAACTATTAAAACTTCAAGAGAAAACTTTTTGACTTATCTAATTGATTGATACTTTTGTCCAATCGGTTAGCTCAACTCAAAATTGATTCCCAGGCAATTAGGATAGCTCCTTAATGATGTGAAATGGCTAAATGTCCACCATCCCTTTTCATGATCAAAACGTAAATGATCCCATCGGCCGCTAAAGTGGTGTCATCTGCGAATTTAACTTTATTCTTCGTGGCTTCATTAAATTTGACAAACCATTTTTTCTCCCTGTCATATGCGTAGAATAACCAGAATCCAAGTACATGCTTCGCTGCACTAGATTCATTCTCTTACAGTCACCATAACATTTTCTTCTACATACATTTCTACAGCATTCTAGGAACTGCTGTTATTGCTTCCCTGCAGCCTGCTACTGTTGCATTCACTTTCCGTGATCATGACCAAGAGTGTATTCTCTTCATCAACCTCTTGTATTGAAACCTTAGCTTCACCTCCTTGAGATTCTCTCTTGTTTATGTTGCAGTCTCTTGCAAAATGACCAAACTTTTGACAATTGAAGCATTATGTCCCGCTCATGTCAATTTTCCTCTTCCGCCTCTATAATTGCATTGACTACTATTTTTGTTGCAGCTGCTCTCACTCTTTTGATAAGTCAAATTCTTCGAAATTTGGGACTTTCTTCCACCAAAATTCTGAAAATTCCCTTTATTCATCATGGGTCATTTTCCTTTCGACTTCTTGTTCTTCTCATTGAACCGAAATTGCAAAGTGAGATCCGCCTTTGCCTTATCGTTATTTCTCTCCTCCATCCTTTGCTCATGAGTCTCAAGAGAGCTTTGAAGCTCATCTTTGCTCAACATCACAAGATCATTTGATTCTTCAACCGCCACTATAATATTGTTAAATCTTGTCGTCAAAGAACGCAAGATCTTCGACACAACATTCTTCTTAAAATCAACATCTCCACAAGACTTAATTTGGTTCACCAACCGCGTAATTTGTGTCACATAATCGTTGATTGTTTCCTTTTCCTCCATTTAAATCATTTTAAGTTGACGCTTTTGAGTTTGTAACCTCATCACCTATTCCATATCAGTCCTTGCATATGCCTTTTCCAAGATTTCCCACACTTGCTTTGTCGATTCACAATCACCAACTTTCTCAAAGTTGTCATCATCTACACATTGATGGATCAAGAATAACGCTTTGTAATCTTTCTTCTTTTCTTCCTTCTGTGTTACTCGTTGTGCATCCGTTGCACATTTGATAAGGGGATTCACCTCATTCTTGATCACTTCAAGAACATCTTGGTAGCCAAACAACACCTTCATTTGCTTGCACCATTTGTCATAGTTCTTTGCATCAAGGATTGATAGGTTTCTAGGGACTCTTTCATTGGAGATAGAATTCATGTTGCACACTAGGTGTTTGTGGATCAGAACCAAACCCTTAATACCAAATGTTAGAACATACAATCAGATAATTGATAAACAAGGAAGTATGTGGAGAAAAGAATAGCGAGAGAGAAGAGAATTAGAGAGAGAAAGATAATTGAGGACGATAATATAATTTGTGTTATTATTGATGAAGATGTCTCTAAGACATTTATTATACAAGTACAATAAAAGACAAAAATAGCAATAAGACCATAAAATAATGACTTTTTGAGTTGCGATTTTTTAATTATAGATTGAATGATCTTATTAAGAATTCATAATAAATAAATAAAAAACTTATTTCTACCATAAATATAACTCTTAAACTTAATACATCATATAACTGTTCCATAATGTTTTTAAACGTGCACTAGTCCAATAATTTATTTTCAAACCAAATTATAGTTGTGATAAGAAAATTGAAAGAAGGGAAGTGATAAAATGACATTGCTATCACAAAAGTTATAAATGGCATTTCCAATGCCTTTTTTCTGACATTTTATATTTTCAATGCTAACAACTCAATTTAAAACTATCGATACCTTAAAATAACGAGTATCCAATAGATAAATTACAATTAAAAGCCATATACAATAGCACCAGTGGTCTAGTGGTAGAATAGTACCCTGCCACGGTACAGACCCGGGTTCGATTCCCGGCTGGTGCATATTTTGTTTTGATAATTTTTTCATCACGTGCGTGCTTATCATTGTTATATTTTTATGACTACGCAGCTTCAGCAAATCCTACACGAAGATTTCCATAATCAAAAACTGTATGGTATGCCCCTAGAAATATATCTCCAAGAACCCTGCAATATTCAAGCATCATCATCATACACCATCAAATCAAAACCATATGCAACCATATTCATATCATAAATCAATAACCCTTCATTACCATAGAGGTCCCTGTGGAGGAGGCACATCTATACCAACAAAACCTCCATAACACACACTAGAACACCCTTCTTCAACTCTTAGAATATACTGAAAAATCAAAACCAAAAATATTAATAAATGTCAATATATAATAATATACTTAAACAATACTTTTTAGTAGTAACAAAATATGAAACTTGAACCTGTTTCGGAGATAGTGGAAATGATTTGTTTCCAATCTTGAATGTAATTCGTGGCATTGTTGGAATATTATCACAGTTTATAAATGATTGTCCCACCGGATTCGGAAGCTTCTCACATAGCTTTTTACACAAGAATGTCGAAAAAGATTAAAAATAAATCTTGAATTTTGAAAAAGTATAGTTATAGTATAATTACCTCATCAATATAATTTAATATTCTTTCTCTTGTGTTCCTCTGCTTAAGCTGAACCTGAATCCAAAACACAATCATATCGCATAATGTACACAACGGACTCTCTCTAGTTCGTTGTGAATCACCCATGTTTTCATCGTCTACCACTGTTTCAATATCATCACTGCATGATTATGTTAGGGTTTTGTTAAGAGAATTCAAACAAAGAAAGAATGTGAATCAAAAGAATTAAATGTAAACAAAAATTGTACTAGTATTTCATTCTATGTGATCCGTTACGCGAGCAGAGTCCAATGTCAACGCATATAATTTCTGGTCTTAGCTGAAAAAAATAACAAAATATGCAAACAATGGTTAAACGAAATTCGGATCATATCATAATCATTTTGAGTACGAGGATTACAGGACTAGAGAACAAACCCCGGAAGTTATGAATTCCCATATCAAATCCCCGTAGTTATGTATGATGTTTTTACATTCATAACTCACATATCCTTCTGCTCCAATAGCGTGGTTAATTTGAGTAACAACACTCTGAAAACAAGTACTAAGTAAGAAAAATACATCATAGTTACATAAAAAAGTAACAATTTAGAAGTATAATGTTAAGATTTCGTACGGTTGGACCAGCAATCAACGATGTTCCTGAGTCGATAATTGCAGCACAACCTCCTTGACATAGTCCTGTTGAATTGTTTTCTAGTAGAATGTCTCCAACATCAATCTAAAGATGAAAACACCAAAAGTCAATGTTGATATGGTTGATGATAAGAGTGATGTAGTTGTAAATATATATACCTGCCAATAGCCCTTTTGAGAAAGTGGAACATAAGTATGGTCACCCCTAAAGTGTCTCCAATCAATACCGCCAAAGACAATTTCACCACCTATGTTTGAATCTGGGTTTTGGTTTAGCCAAAGAGAGAAAATCTTTTGACTCATGTACCCTTGTTCAATCATGTTATACCTGTATTTATTAACATAACTTAGCATTGATTTTTAGGTTTCATAAGAAAACCTCTAGAAAAAATAGGCCTTACCACACTGGTGTCACTTGTCCAACTGATATATCCTGAAACCCAAGTCCAAGTATCCCATCAAAATGCATTGCCAAAAATTCCAATGATCATTCCTTTGTAATCTCAATAAATTCCTGCAGCAGCAGACACTAACATGTGTTAGACACCAGATACGTCTTTAGTGTAAAGTGTCTCTGCTACATCAATTGACCTGATCTTTGATGATGATATTTCCGACTTTTACATTATCTTGGCTGAAGAAGCCGGGAATGTACCCACGGCTAAAAGGGATCTTGCATGATGTTCCTGAACATTTTCCCAAACAAAAATTTCTGAGTACAAACATTATAACAAACCAACACAATTACACAAACATCTCAAAAACAACATTCAAATAGACGAACTTTAGAGTTTAGATTGAAAATCTCATGTCAAATAAGAGTTACCATTTTTTGTATAAGTGCTAGACAACTTGGACCTATACTTGGAATGAATATAACAAGCAATCTGCATATAATCATACTCAAATTATTCATATCTTGTATTCAAAATAAGCTTGAAGAAGTGATTAAATCACTGTGAAACTTACAGACAATCTGCATTTGGAAGATGGGACCCAAAGATTTGAGCTTCCAGTATCAAACACAACTTTGAAAATTTGTGGAGGTGATCCAATACCAATTTCACCAAAATATTGTGCATCAAGATAATTCTTTAGATAAACTATATTAGTTGTTAAATAATTATTACTATTAACACCCCTTAGTCCTCCATGATCAAAAACCTCCTTAATCTTTGCAGAATTAAGAGTACTAACATCTAAATTCCTTCTTTTTAAACTAACTCTCATTAAACCATCATCAGAAGTTACAAAAGACAAAGATTTGAACAAAGCCCATAAGAACATCACAGTTAGAAAATACTTGAACTCCATGTTTTCAAGAAGTGTGTTACATTCATATCATATACTAATATACATTATATATTTTATTATAAATAATTCAACTCCTTTGTTTTCTTCTATTTTTTTTTAAAATCTAGTTTTGATTTGCAAAGCAACAATTTACGCCTTGCATAGAAACAAGTAGGTAGCTTCGTGTTGTATAATGAATGCAATTTCCAGTACGGTGAACGAAATAACTTTGCTATATAGGACATGATTTGAGGCCTTCGATCAAACTATAGATTGTAATTTGTATCATGGAATTTTTTTTCACTGTACACTCTTTTTAATGATTGTATAAAAAGAAAAATAAATAATAATTTTTTTTTGTAAAGACAATACTATGATATAAAAGAAAAAAATAATTATAGAAATAATTTAAAATATATTAATAAATAATGAAGAGTATAGTAGAAAGAAGAAAAAAAAGTAAATGAAGAACACATGTTTGACCCGAGCGACCTTCTTCCAAATAAAGTGAATATACATCTTAATGTGTTTTGTGCGTTGATGTTAGATAGAATTGTCGGATAGGTAGATAGCACTAACATTGTCACAGTACACAAGAGTAGTCTGGTAAATGAAAAATGAAGCTCCAAGAGAAGGTTGTGAAGCCAACATGATTCTGAAACCGCATTAGCAACGCCCTGGTACTCAACATCTGCACTGGAATGAGAAAGTCTTGGTTGTCGCTTGGAAGACCATGAAATTAGGTTGTCACTAGGAAAAACACAACAACCCAATCAACATCTATGTAGGAAACAAGTTTCTCGACGAAAGAATAATAGAGATGCAAACCATATTGTAAGGTGCACTGAATGTAACGCTGGATGCGTTTCAGTGCAAGCATGTGCGCAATGCAGGGAGATTGCATGTGAAGACACACATGCTGAACAATATATGAGATGTCAGGACGGGTAAATGCGAGATACTACAAAACACCAGCAAGACTCCGATATAATGTAAGATCATCATATGGAGCGCCAACAGAGGTACTGAGCTTCTGCTTTGTGTCAACTGGAGTAGTAGATGGTTTGAATGAAGTCATGCCTGATAGAGAAATAATGTTGCTCGTGTAGGTACTCTGACTAAGAAACAATCCTTCTGCATGTTTGATCACTGCAATAATGATCCGCTGACGCACACAGATCAAAACGAGTAATTTTAAAATTGTAGTTAACGACAATGACTCGAACATCGTATCACAAGATTCTTGTATGAATTAACCAACCGATTGAACAATGGGGGATTTTGAGTTTTGATTAAGAAAAGTAGTGCAATTAATTAAGTGATTATCAAAATAAGCTAAAATGATTAATCTATTGTTTTGGTTTCTCAACTTATCATCGATCCAAATAATTCTCAATCCCTAAGCGAACTCAATCCCCTTTTCGATTATAATAACAATCATACAAGCGCAATTGATATTACACGATATATATTCTTAATTTTTTAATTAGTCAAACAGACGCGGATTAAGCAAACACGATTAAAGTATAGGAACACACAATCATCAAAATAAATCAATAAACCATAATAAATCCAATAAAGAAAATAAGATATCAAAAAGAATAATTGAAAGGAAATAGATTTTGATTGGAAAATATAAGAACCTCAAAGTGACGGCGGAAACCGATTACAACTAGTTAATCCTTTGGAATTAGTTCTCCATTACAAAGTGTACAAAACGTATGAAATATTTTATGAACAGTGTATGGTGAATAAGCTACACACCTGAGGCTGCGAGCTATTTAACAAAATAAGGATTTGTCCTTCTAAACAAACAGGGTCGGAAAACTTAAACCCAAGCCCAAAATGACCCAAAACTAGTTATTTTTTAAAGTCTGAAACTTCAACGAATTATTTGAGACTCCTGCAATTCAAATGATATTTTGGATTCAACATAAAAGTTGTGGCTCTTTCTCTTAGTTTTCCAACTCATATCAGAATGCGCAAAACGATATCATGTAGTTCGAGTTATGATGCGTACAATGAACAAGTATCAAATAACTATTAAAGCTGAAAACAACATACGAAAATAGATTAAAGGCAAACATAAACTTAAATATAAAAACATAATAAAACAGTAAAATAAACAAAACAAACTAGGGAAATGCATAAGTACAATCATATAAAAATGTCCATCAAAATGCACTGATCAAATTCCCCCACACTTGAACTTTTGCACTCTGAGCAAAATCATAACTTCAAAACAGACATAATTCAAAACAAACACAAAACAAAGCATGCACTTCCAAAAGTTTTCAAGATACAAGGTACAAACAAAATTCTAAGTCTAAGCTTCAAGAATATGGTGTTAGTGAGCAGCTCTTTGTGACACTCAAGCAAATAGGAAAAATTGATTACCAAAAAGTACATAAAAAAAGCAAGATCTTCACAAGATAAATTTCACTCAACTCTCAAGTGTTTAAGTTAACTGTTTATACTCAAAGCGCAACATGAAAATTAGTACTATCATAAGCTTGTAAATACTCTAACATCTACAATTGAAATAGATGCACACAAATATCAAAAGGACTTTTATTCGGTTGTAATTTAACTAAGGTAAGGGTGAGATAAATCCTAGGGGGGGGGGGGGGGGGTTACTAGGCTAAAAGTTAAATGATTAAAAGGAAAATTGAAAGGACTGCGGAGTTGAACTATAAAATACTTAATTTTCTTTCAAACAACAACCTCACAACTATTTCTCTTCTTTTTTCTTTTCTTTTTTTCTTCTCTTTTTTTTCTCCAGAAGGACTATGTATTGACATCCTTCTCTATTTTTTTTTCATTTCTCATTTTTTGTCTTTTATTTTTATACCAACAATTGAAACATCACAACAATATTTTTCAACCCCACACAACTCCATACAAAACTCTTTTAACCCTTGATTAGGGTGATAATTTTATTTTTCACTTTTTAACTTGTAATGAATTAATCACAAAAAAAGGGATAAATAGGCTCAAAGGGGGTTTTAAACAAAGGATGATATTATTTCAGGGTTAGATTTTTGACTAAGTGACTAAAATAAAACAAAAACAAGTGTCCATGATCATATCAATGTGCACAAGTAAACAAAAAGCATCAATGAGAGTCACTTCAAGTTTTAGAGACTAACAGACATGAGTGAATCACACAAAAAAGAAAGAGATAGATTTTTTTGTATGCTATCCATATAAAGCTCAAAATCTCACAAGGGTTAATGATCTATCACTAATGATGTACAATTCAGAGTTTAGTCCTACCTATCATACTAAAGACTGCATAATAAATTAGTCACATCACACCGCAAGACTCTAGTCAAGAGAACTAAGAAAGATACTCGTAATTGTAAATAAAAAAAAAACATGCAATCATTTTTTATTTAATAAATAAAACAAACACAGAGAAAATTTAAAACAAAATAAATAAAACAAAACAAAGAAATGATTCCCTACCCCACACTTAAATTATGCATTGTCCTCAATGAAATGACATAACTATTAAATAAGAATGAGAGAAAGGAAAAAGCACACCTGATAAGTCAAGGAGGATATGTGATTGCATAAAAAGTCTCTCCTTCCAAAATGGAGTTCTCACGGATTAGCTTCGAGTAATGTTCATTGTCCTTAAAAATTGGTTTAGTTTCTTTGCCTTTTATTCCAGGATCAAAGAATGATCTCCGATAAGTAATAGTGTCGAAGTGAATGGGCTGCCCTATGGATGGTGTGGTTGGTGCAACATGGACGTCGAGAGCTTCAACTGCACACACAACTTCTTCATTGATAACTTCACCTGTAGGAACAATTTCAATCAATAGGGCAACCTCAAACTCAACAAAAACAAAGGAAGTATCACATGAGTAAGTATCATCAAAGTTAGACAACGATGGAAAATTATTTGAAAACAAATCATAATAAGTGTCATCAACCAACTCAGAAAACACTTCAATGTGAAAAAAATATTTTTCTTCCACATAATGTTCCATAGAATCAAAAAGGTTAAATTTAGCAATATTATAACCAAATTCCACGGACATTGTTCCATCATCAACATCAATTTTTGTTTTTGCCATTTTTCATGAACGATCTGCCTAAAATGATTGATCATCTGCTTGAATTCGTTTCTCTGGCCATGTCAAGAATGTAAAAATTTGCAGGAAAAAGCAAGTCATTAACTTGGACAAGCACATCTTCCACTACCCCAATAGGGCGAGTATTGCTCATGTTCTCCAGTTGAATGATTAAACTTGTATGCTGAAAGGGACCAAGATCAAGATTATTATAAATATAAGTAGGCATAACATTAATTTCTGCTCCTAAATCAAGCATGCAATATTTGAATTTATTATCCCCAATGGTACATGGAATAGAAAAAGTTCTTAGATCCTTGCATTTATGGGGAAAAATAGCCTGATTGAGGGCTGAAACAGTAGCCTTTTCAGGTGCAGGTTTAGGTTGAATGAGGGCTGAAACATTTCTTCCCATGTTCACTCTCTCATTTCTCTTCATCCTCCTCTTATGCGTGCACAAATCTTTCAAAAGTTTTGCATACTTTGGAACATGTTTAATCACATCAAGAAGTGAAATATTCACTTCCACTTTCCTGAATACATCCAAAATCTCCCTCTCTTTGTATTCCTCTTCCACCTTCTTAGTTTTAGATACTCCTTGTGGAAAATTGATTGGTGGCACATACTCTTTTTGTCGCGCACGGGTCAAAATGAGTAATTTTAAAACTGTAGTTAGTGATAATGACTCGAGTATCGTATCACATGGATTCTTGTATGAATTAACCAACCAATTGAATAATGGGGGTTTTGAGTTTCTATTAAGAAAAATAGTGCAATTAATTAAGTTATTATCAAAATAAGCTAAAACGATTAATCTAGTGTTTTGGTTTCTCAACTTATCATCGACCCAAATATTTCCCAATCCCTAAGCGGACTTTATTCCCTTTTCAATTATAATAAAAATCATACAAGTGCAATTGATATTACACGATAAATATT